GGGTCTCTAGTTTCTCAGTCCCATTTCTCAGTCTCTAGGTTACTGAGTACAGAATAGTTCACTACCACTATCAGGTTGCATTTGCAAAAAAATTACAGGAATACCAAAAATAAAAATGATAGACCAAAAATTGCTTTTACTGAATAGCCGACAAATAGCAACAATTTCATGGCTTGATAACTTAAGGAAGATAGGTCCTTTAGTCTGAAAGTTTCTGATTTTCAGTATTCACAAGTCAATAGAACCAAGATGTCAAGCACCGTAAAAAAAAACTGGTCTATTTTTATCTATCTACATCATTACTCAGTGCCAGATTTTGTTTTCTGTGCTGCGGGTTGCAAAGTTTCTCTTCATTGTATTTATATGTGACTGCAAGCTACAGAATGTAATACAAATTCAGCTTGCTGAAAATGTTATGTTTATCTGGGTAGTAAAGTTAAGATTAAATATCTTAGTTAAATACGCTTCTGTGGTTTTTTTTTATAAAAAATGTCAGGAAAAAAAGGCTTAAAGAAACAAGCATTGCAATGCACTTGTAAAGTTTTTGCTGAGTCGTTAATTTTTAATGCTTCCTGTATATAAGATGAAAAAGAAAAGAGATAACAGAACTATCACAGCTTGTACTTTGATCAGGAAAGTATCAACCTGGCAGGTACAAGAAAAACAACTGACACCAATGACTAATCTGTCCTCACCGTTCCTGTATAAGTAACTCGTGCAGATTCTCCATCGTACAGAGAGAACTGATCAAATATCAAATGCCACAAATCCCTCTAAAAATCCTCAGAGAAGTGCTTCCCTTCCAAGCCAATACATGTACTAGATTTACAGATACAAGTCAACACCATAGACTTTGGGGTTATCAAACTTAGATCAACATATGCCAGAAAGTCTGTTAAATTCTACATGTTAGGAGGCTTTAATATCTAGTTTTAGTCTGTATCTGGAATAAGGAGGGTTTATAAATTAGGTTTTTAGATTTTTCAGACATGCTGATCCACTGCTCAGTTTTTCATTGAAGCCTGACACATCTTCCTTCTCCCGGGTTTCCTTGGAAACTGAAGCTGCACAATTTTTCTAGGGCTCTGATTCCGCAGCTGCCTTTTATGTGAAGTATCTACTGAGTATGAGGAACTGGAACTGGTAGGAAAGGAGGGACTTTCTATAGGAAGGACTGAGTGGTGATTGTTTATCTGACCCAAAAGTGGATGAATAAATAAAATGAATGTAGTATCAGGTTGCTCCTTTTACCCAAAAGATATTTAAGACTGAAGGAGCTGCCTACCTGAACTGGCATGCATTCTGGGAAAGCTTAGCAGAGACTGATAGAGGTGCTGGGCTTTCTCCAGTCTGCAAAAAGTCAGAGGGGATGCTCATGGCAGTCCTGAAGACTGGGTCTGTAATTAGCCCCATGCTCTGCAGAGTGGAGTTCAGGTTCAATCTCAGCAGTTTTTACTTTTGGTTTTTAGTAGCAGAATTTGGTCCTTGGAAATTTGGTCCTGGTCATTGGAAACTAACTCAGCCACTGTAGAAACATCATGTCTTTGTAGCTCAAAGTGTAGGTCTTCAGTTCTGGGCTTTTTCTCTATAGATGAATTGTCCAACTAGATGATAGCTTAGAAGGCAGTAATAAATGCTCCTATTATGCAGTGACTATTCAAGGAACTAGGTGGCCGCAATGACAGAGCATTGAGTTTTATTTTGCAGTAGAAGAGAAAAGCCAAGCCTTGCTCTGGATATGTGCCAACGGCTATTCATAACCAGACACCCATTTCTGAGCACCTGCTGGTTTGTGCTGAGGAGTCCACTTGAGCTGGGAGCTACATCACATCTTTGTGTGTCATTGGTGATGAACATCATTTGTCCCTGCTGTCTCAATATGCTAACTAGCTTTTGCTGCACCCCAGCTCTGATATATTCCAGATTTTAGACCATAAACTTCAATAAAAGCTTAGATTGTTTAAAATGGAAATTTTAGTACTTGCACTCCAATGATTTATCAGGTAGTCAGGTCACATAACCTATCTGCTTCCCAAGAACTGAGTTCTTGTGAATAATTCTAATTCTGAATTGAGAATTTAATTTCCATACAAGCTGTAGTTGCTAGGTGTATCCTTGGTTGAAAGCTCTGTTTCAGAATATTTGAGGACACTTTTGTTTGACTATGTTCCCACACAGTTTCTGTTAATTGGAATTAAAAGTGTTTTTTCCAGTGCTAGCCTTGCTCTAGCTTTACCATATTTAATAAATAGTCTGTTGGAATATTCCTGAAAGAGAGAAAACCCATTAAGCTTGAACCTTCAGTCAGGAAAATGAAATTCAAAGAAAATGTAGTTTGGTTATTTTTAGATGGGTTCTTCAAGCAGAGAAATGGAACACGTATTAATATTCCAGATTTTCTTAGCCATTTTTCTAGTCAGGCCAATGCTTACTTCTTACAACTCTGGTTAGTCTGCTGGGACTTCTCCTTGTAATTAACTTCTGAAGTAATTCTTAAATGCCATGTTCTATTTACTTTCAGTAGTTATCAGATGACATGTCTTGCCCAGGGCAAAGTTTTACACAGGTCAATTTTTTTTTTTTTTAATCATGCATATCTAGAATAAACTGATCTGTTGCTTTTTAGCATCCAGCTCAATGAAGCAATGAGTCTGCACACATTCACCTCATTAGGAGTGGAAGATGCACAGCATGAATGCAGAGACATTCAGCTCAAGCTCTAAGTAAATAAGCTACACTTTCAGTTGTTTTTTTTTTTTTAATTTATTTTGGCAGTTCATGTAAAATGTATGAGCACTGTACTCTTGCAAATACCTGAATGCCAAAGATAAGAGCTTCACTGAAGAAGGGCAGCTTTCTCCCCATTGATCTCTCCACTGATTGCTCCAAACCCCCCAGATTTCTGCCCTTTGCCCTGTCCCAGGATCTCACGGAATACTTTTGGCTGAAATTTCTGTTCTTGATGGCTCACCTTCCAGTGATAGTCTTGTGGTGTGAGTCTGGGGCTAGGACTGGAGGATCTAGGTTAGCTTCCTTCCCTCGTTTTTGCTTTCCCTCACCTTTTGAAGCTATTCCAACTTGCACAGACTATTTAACTGTTCATCCAGAGAAAAGGAGCCTATTACTCAATGTCTTGATGCACTTTTGATCAGACATCTAGCTGGGATGTGGTATGAATATAAGAGCAGGTCTGATCATAATGAACTGAATGACAGGCTACCTAACATGTCCTGCAGCATGGCTATATCCCCCATCAGAGGCATGGATGGAGAAATCAAGGTTCTCCTCCCAAGAAACGTCTCCTCCCTCCAAGGTGAATATTCCCTTGCTGTGCTGGTGGGCAACAGCCCTAACACCTCCTCTTTGCAGATTCCATGAGCGCAGCATTGCTTCAAAATGCCTGAAATGGAAAGGAAAATTTGTTCTTGCTCAGGTTTCACTCCATCCAAATTTCTATGTCTTCTGTTGTTACTATCAGAAATACTTTCAAGTGCTTTACATTAGCCAGGTATGTTTTGGGACTAAGTAGTTGGGATGCACAGCTGCTGTCTATAGGATGGGTTTAGAATCATGAGAGTACTGGGGTTCAGCTTCAGGGAAGATGGGGAGAGACATTACAGCCCTTTTAAAAAATTTTAAACTCTCCTGGAATCTACATCTCGTAGATGTGCTCCCCAGGAGAGTCTACAGATGACTCTTGCCTACCTAATTTACTGCTAGTCATTAATATCCTTCAAGTCATCAGCATCTTTTACAAACATGCTTTCTACTTCAAAAACTTAGAAAATTTTTTTAAAAATTCAGACTATTTGGAATGTTGATATGCTGATAATGCCCACATTTGGCATGGGGCATGCAACACTCTCTTGTACGACAACGTGAATAACATTCACAGAAACACAGAATCACAGAATGGTAGGGCTTGGAAAAGACCTCTGGAGATCACCTAGTCCAACCCCCTGACAAAGCAGGTTCACCTAGATGAGGTTGCACAGGATCACAACCAGGCAGGTTTTGAGTGTCTCCAGAGAAGGGGACTCCACAACCTCTCTGGGCAGTCTGTTCCAGTGCTCTATCACCCTCATAGGAAATAAATTTTTCCTTATGTTTACGTGGAAGTTCCTGAGTTCCCGTTTGCGCCTGTTGCTGCTTGCCCTGCTGCTGGGCACCACTGATAAGAGACTGGCTCCATCCTATTGACACTTGTGCGTTAGCTCTTTATAAGCATTGACAAGGCCCCCTCTCAGCCTTCTCTTCTTCAGGCTAAACAGACCCAGGTCTCTCAGCCTTTCCTTGTAAGATCCTTCAGATCATTCACAAAGTCAATTTTCATTATAGCTAAACTGTAATAATTTGCAGACAGAGCTTTACAGCTTTGATACTCAATCATCTCGACAAGCCTTTTCCTACCAGACTTCTTCTACAAACATGAATATGTGGAAGAACATAAATACAAATTATAACTTTATGTAGATAGGAAAATACTGGATATACTTCAAATAAACAAATATGCAATGTAAAGAAAATGTCACAATTTTTACTTACTTTCTTGGTTTTGTCCATCGCCTTCAGTATGGTTATGTTTAAGTTTTCCAAGACAGACAGAACATTTTGATACTCTCCTAAGTGCTGGGAAAAATATTCTAAAAGAAGAAGAAAACCCACATGACTTGTTCATGACATGAAATATCAATATTTTATTAAATATAAAATTTAGCGATTCTGAATTTAGTTATGGCATTGTTAACTATCTAAATATATAAAATGAACAAACATTATAAGGAAAAGGTGATTTTATTTTAATTTTTTTTATTATTCCTGGAGTACTTAAAACACCAAAATCAGTGTTTCAAAACATTTTCTTTCAATAAATGAGTTGCCATATTGACAAAAGTCTAAAATATCAGTTTGGGAGCTGAAACACACCTATTTTCAAAATATCTACATTTCCTTTCTAAACTATTTTTTTCAATCTAATAATTAACTTTATAGTTATTAGCAGGAAATGAACTTTTCATGTGTATGTACTAGATCTGATTATATTGATACAAAAATTAATAAATCTGGTAAAGCCCTTAAAGGAGTAAGCCCAACTGGGGGCTCTTGTGAGCTGGAATCAGACAAAACTAGTTGTTTCTCTTTGAGAAATTAAGAGGTCATAATTTTGCCTTCTAGTCCCAGGTACGCTGATTATATTTTCAACAAATATGATGCATGCAAAATACTTTTAATAAAGAATTATGGAAATAGCATAAATTGCAGGATGTCCCTGAGTAGCTGCTCAAAGCAAAGGACATTTTAACAAAAAGAGCTCATGTAAAATCAGGGGGCATAACTCAATCAGAGGGATCGCAGTGAGAGACAAACCTAGGAATTAATGACTCAAGTTTCCATCTGGTTGATAGAGCAAAATACAATAGAGGAAGGCACAGGAAGGGAAAGGTGTGAAAAATCAAGAAAGAAAAATTCTGTTAAAGCTAGAGACTGTGTTAGACAAGGCATTTAGACATCAGAACACCTGGAAGAACATGAAAAAAAAACCATATAAATGGCAGACAGGAAGAAAGAATAAGATTTTTATATAAATTTGGCTCCACCAGCCAAATTCATAGCAGCCCAATTCCTTTCAGCTGAGGGACAATATCTTAATCAGACTCAGGCTGAGGTGCCTCTCAGCAGGTTCTTGGCCATGGTCAAGAGTCACCCTGTGGTAAATGAGCTGGCATTCAACTTGACACTATTTTCAGCTTTTATAGGTCTTCAATGTTATTGATCATTGGAAAATTATCAGACTACCATCTTTCCCTCAGAAATAGGCTGGTTTTGATACGTACATTTTTTTTTTGACATTTTGTGGGAGGACTTGCAAAATTTTCTGTGAATTATTCTCTGCTGCAAGAAATTCCTTACTGTATACTTACAGTAAACTAGCTGGAGAGCAAACAGAGTTTTGGGGAAATGACTTAAAACTCAGAATGGGGTAAGAAATAGGTAACTGGGCCAAATACTAGCCCTCACAGGAGAGTTTTTTTTTTTTTTCTATTGTGATGAAGGATGATAGAACTTGTCAAATGGCTGTTTTCACATTGTAATGAATTTTCTTCCAGTAGGCTATTAATACGACAATATTTTTCAAAATTGATGAAGCACTCATACCTCTCAAAGTGATCAACTAACTAGAAAAAATATCTCACATGAAAGGGAATTAAGATAAATGTTATCTATCTATCCTTACATCAGAACAGGTCTGGAAGCTCAGAGAATGTGAAATGTTGATTAAGAAAAATATGTTCAAAGTAATTTCTGTAGATAATGGAGTCTGAAAAGATTATAAACCATCTGCACTTTCCTGGGCTTTCTTTCAATGGAAATTATTTCTGTTTCAGCTACAAGGATTAAACAGAAAAAAACTTATCACATGGTATAAATACTTGTACAGGGCTGCCACAAGCATGGGTTATGTTCTTGCCCAAAATGGAACTTACCGCAGAGCTCTTCTGTGTCAAGATTGCTGGAAAGATAAGAACATAGAAGGTTAGAGAGCTTAGTAATGTTTTTTGTTGGATGGGTAAATAGTAGGACTCAAAGATTAGCCCAACTGGGGTATGAATCTTCCCTGCCTTGGCTGTAGTAGGAGCTGTGAGTGCTGGGCCCTTGTTGGCCTTGCTCTGCTGCCTTAGGGAGGCTTTTCCTGAGCTGAGGAAGGACAGCTACAACCCAGCTACAGCCCTTCTGCAGCTGGCTACAGGTACAGCCTCCTTTCCCCATCATGTTCCCACTGGCACTTTCCTACTCACTGACACCCCTCTTTGAAGTTCCTCAGCCTTTGTGCATCATGGTGCCGAGTCACCACTCCTCAGGCCTTACATATTTGGTCCCAGTGCTTGCAGAAATCCATCTAAACACCAGAAATTGTTTCCCCCACCCTTCTGCCTGTACTTCTCTTCTGTGGCTGTCAGTTGGACAGCATAGCTCAGAGAGCTTGGCCCTTTGTGCTAAAAGAGGGAAAACCCAGTAACTTCCTCCTGTTTGCAGTCCTGACCGTGCAATAGTGCTCAATGGGGAGAGACAGTACAGCAGGAGGATAAAACCAGACATTTCCCATCAGCACACATAATTTCTAAGTCTATCTGGCTGTACAAAACCTTTTTACTAGAACAAACTTCAGCAAAATTACTGATGTGAAAAGCATAGTGACGTACGGAAACAGACTCTA